TATCTTTGAAGAGACTCCCCCGGGCCTTGGGCCTCTTGTCTTAAATATATTGGAATTGAAATTGAATTACGGGTAGCAGAGCAACAACTGTGGACACGAAAACAAACCGATCCTAAGACGAAGTTTGCAGAACATCGGTTACTTCTGTTAAACTGTACTGTTCCATCATGGACACTAGATTTGTTTTTTTTTTTCAAAGATTATGTGTGTTCACGAACATATATGCAACTGAGTTTCAAAAGAAGTAGAAGTTAACAAATAAACGCACACGGCAAAATATTATTATATTTTTCTTAAGGTTCGAGGGCTCCTCGCTGGATGTTATAAAGGATTTCGGAAGATTACGCAATAGATCTTTTATCCTCTCATGTTGTATAATTTGTGGCTAGCCACAGCTGTGGCTGTTGCAGTGCCATATATAACTGTTCGGGGTCTTGCCTATGCTTACGTTAACAGGGAGTCTCAAATTTGTTTAGGCGGCGTGCTCTGGGCAGTTCGCATTCATCCGACTGGCATAACTGTGTGCTTTCCGTATGCTTTTGTACTCCGTTCCGATGTGAATTTTTTAAATGAAAATTCTGCCAGAGAACACAAGATATTTATCGGTTGCATGGTTGTGCATGATACACATATATGTACGGAAGACAAAAACAGCGGCTGCCAGAGCGCTTTCAATCGCGTTCTTGTTAGATTTTAACTGAAGGACAAGTTAGTGCTCGCAAGTCGTAACGATACATAAAGAAGTCAAATCCTATGATGCAATGATCGTTTCATATGATACTCTGATTCATTTAAGGCCAATGTTAATTTTAATAGTTCTACGAATCATTTTTGCTGCAAAATGACAGTTGCAATATGTGGGAGAATTATATAGTTGCTGATTTCGAAAATTATTAATATAAAAGTTCATGAGCTATTAGTTCCCCAGCTTAGTGAAACAGCCTCGCCTAGCCTCCTCAGCCCGTCCATGGGACCATCATATGAGTTAGCGTAATCTGTCCATCTTCCTATAAAGTCATTTCGTAGAAGCTTCTTAGACCGGTATGGGATCACCTTAGACCGCGCTACGTTAACTTTCTTAACTACTTAGTATCAATTCTTTACATTACAATACAGAACTTGAGATAGCCCAAACAGGTTGATAAAAATGACATCACTTTTCTGTTCATAACTCCGACACTGCTGACCCAGCGCCCCTTATCCCTCTGTAGCAGCTACAATTTTTAACTTGACAGAAAGTGCTCTTTCGTTGAAAAGAAAAGTCTTCCAAGAAATTTACCCTGACGCTTCCATAATTAGGAAACTAATTAAACTTAGCACACAGATTGGGAACACAACCAGCACACACAACATGTGCTTCAGAACCAATTAAGCACGTGAATACCACCCTCTGTAGGATAATGAAATCGGCGGGAGAAAATTACCATACGTAACAATAACGATGTCGAAGTCGGAATGCTTTTTAAATTTGTATCTGATATCCGAATTTTCGCAAGTAAACAAATATTCGTCCTTCCATTTTCTTTCTCGTAAACATTTATAATCTCGCATGAGTAGGCAAAAAGAGTGCTTAGATTTACACAAGAAAAAAAACTTTCTTTGGAATTATTCCTCAAACGAAAGTGATACAGTTTATTTTCATGCTCCCGAACTAAGGATCGTAGCATATCGAACCATGTCTAGAGGCAGTCTTACCTGGCGGAGAGCAAAAGTTTCGAGTTTTTTATTAAACAAGAACACCTTCTACTCCGGAGGCCATGTGCGGTTGATTGTTCCGCTCAGTTAACATTTATAGCACTACAAGAAGGTAGGCGGTTGCATTGGCAACATCTGACAGGTTTTCAAATTAAATAATTTATCATTAATTTATTTATCCATTAGTTTATATCTTTTATCTTTTACTTTCAAATTTGTGTAATTTTTTAGTATATGCAACTGCAATACGATGCACAGAAGTTCAGAGAAGAGGCAAGGATGGCTCAGTGCCAACTTGATTTGACAAAACAAGCCCTTGAAGAAGCAAAGGCGGAGAATGCTGAGTTAAAACGTTCACTTGAGGCCCTCCGAGGGGATATTGACATCTATGAAGGCCTCAAAGAGCGCAGCGCGGCTGCTGTTGCTGGGCTTCAGAGCTCGCATCGCGAAGCCTTGCGCAATGTAGCTCACTTAGAAGCACAAATTAGGTATGTAACACGAGTTACTAGTTAACTGAACCTTACGCGTGTTTTTGCTTTTGGCCTTCATAAATATATTGCAATTACTAATTTCTCATATTCTACTTTAACAAAAATACGCCATCATATTCATTTTGAGGGCTTGACCTGCTCATTTCTCATTTTATCCACTCTGAAATATTGCGGTGCATGTTTTAGTTGTATTTAGAGATTTCTTACAAAAAAAGATTCTTTAATAATCACAGGGACATGAAGGATAAACTAAACGAGTCCCCTCAGGAGGAATCCGAGATTGTGGAGAAAATGAAAAGAAACGCTGCAGACCTGACAACGCGCCTTGGACTTCCAGAACGCGCGAAAACAGACCTCGACTTTCTGTTTTCGGAGGTGATTCTTGACGTTTAAACACCATATTTTATGCCCACATGGTAGTTTGGGGCTCGCTGATCTAGTTTAGGAACAAGAATTTCCCTTTGTGCCCTGGAACTCACTAGAGATCCCGCCCAGACAGTCGCACAGGAACTTGTACAATAGGGTGAAACGGAACCGGAAAAGACAAGGGAGACCAAAATGACCATTTCTCGCTACTAGCCGTCATCAGCTAGTCATACCGCGTCTCAGGTATGGACCACCCGGGATTCGAACCGACGACCTTTAGTCATTGAGCACAACACAAGAGGTCATTGTCAGTCCGCCACGAAGGAGCCCATACGCAGACAGCAGAAACGAAACCGGACGTGCTTTAGGCATGAATAAAACGCGACACAGGCAGCGCGGCATAAAAATTCTCGGCAAGTATTCTGATGATGGAAAAAAGGAGGGTTCCGAAACGTGAACAGCAATACAGTATGTTCCATGACGAGGCCTCGTTTTCTCCATTTTCTTTGGGAAATGATAAACAGGATAATATATCTGGACCTTGTGTCTTCGCCCATGTTAATATATATATATATATACCTATATATGAATGAATGCAGGTGTTTCACCGATCTAGTCAAGGAACAATTAAG